AGTACTAAAATTGGGGATAAGAGCATATACACCATAGGTCATAGACCAAGGTTATTGACAGGACATTCCTGAGTTAGACAGGAAGCCATTACAGGAGTTGAACGGAAGGTAGTGTTATCTAAGTTGCTGTCACTGTGTTAATAGGATGTCAAGTGGACTAGAATGAGAAGAGGGAAAGTTGGCGGGAAGTTCCCGCTGTCATTCAGGCAGGAGACAACAGTGGCCTGTTCAAGGGTGGTGGCTTTGTACCTTGATGGGAGCAACTGTGGTTGAGCCTGGCCATAATTTCCAGGTACAGAGGGAAGCATGTTCTGATAACTCAGATGTGCGACATGAGTGAAGAAAAGGAGAAAGAGGCCCTAGGAGTTTGGGCTGAGGCAACTGGAAAAATGGAGTTACCACTTTCTGAGATGAGGAAGACTGCGAGGAACAAATTCGGAGACAATATCAGGAGCTTGGTTTTGGAGTATTGGATGCTTTTCAGACATTCTGTTTGACAACGACACAAGAAACGCCAAGGTGGTGTTGAGAGAACATCAGAGGTATCGGCATGTAGGGGACGTTAGATGTCACAAGTCTAGGGTGGGAATGTCCCAGGATTGAGGGCAGATGGTCAAGAGGCTCAAGGACTGGATCTTGGGGTTCTCCATGCATAGAGGTTGAAAAGATGAGGAGAAAGCAACGGGGAGACTGGAAACTCAGGCGCAGAGAACATATTTGGTTGAGCCTTCTGAGCCTTGGAAGTGGAGTTGGGCCGGGAGCCTGGGTCTTCACCGGCAGGACTGAGAGCTCTTTGCCTTGGCCCAGGGCACCTTTCTCCTCACATTTCTTGGATTGGAATCCTGCTGATGTTCCTTGTGTGGGACGTGTTGTTTTCAACAAGTCTGAGCAGGACATGGGTTTTTGTCTTTTTTTTTTTTTTTAAGTGTTTGAAGTATTTCATAATTTCAAAATGCACTAAAATAAAAAGACATGGTGGGAGGCCCAGGCTGCCAACATGGATTTGTGAATTGGACACACAAACTCCGACCAAAGGGAGGTATTGTCAGAGTTGTTTAGAGGAAGGATTCTGTCGTCTTGGATCCCATTGGCAGGTCTTGGTTGCTGTGGGCATTGATGATCACGGATTAAATAAACCACATGGTCCCAGGAGAAAAGACAAGATGGAGTAATGTCACAGGACAGTTAGCCCGAGGGAAGATGAGAATTTTCACTTTTAAAATATGTCAGCATCTTCAGAGCTGTTGGGTCTAGATTGCATGTACACTGTACCTTAAGATCTCTAGAGTTTTCTCTGGTTGGTGCTGGCCGGTTGGCATGGGTCAGGGTTTTATAGCCTCTATAGCAGTCAGCTTCATGTTAATACAACAAAATACCTGACACAAGCTACTTAGGAAGTAAAGAGAGGTTTATGCTGGCTCACTGTTCTGGAGGTTCAAGAGCATGGTGCCTGCATTGACCCAGTTCCGGTAAGGGCAGTGGATGGCAGTAGTGAGGAACAGATACTAGATTTAGCTTTCTATCTTGAGCCAAGAAACAAAGAGATAGAGAGGATAGGGAACTTCCTGCCCTTTGAGAGAAAGCCCCAGTGATCGAAGGACCTCCTATTTGGCCCTCCTTCCTGGAGAAACGACCTCCCAATAGTGCTACTCTTGGGTCCACACCCTTAACATGTGGTCTTATAGGGGACACTACCCACATTCATACCACAGCAACATCTTACTTTGCAGAGTCCCTACAGAGGCTAGCAGATGTTGGTGGGGGAGACATTTCCTGCCCATGTTGATTGGTTCAGCATGCATGCCCTGGGCACCACCCAGGCTTGACACACCTTCCCTTTGTCTGTAACACTGCTTTGTCTTAATGCCCATGCCTCAGCAGGGACTCCCTTGAAGCCTTTGTGATCTGCCTTGATGTTGCAATTGTCCTGGCTCTTTCTCCCTGTGATCAGAAGCTCAATGCTGGGAATTGAGCCTGTGTTTTTGCATCCAAATAACATTTTCTTGATCTTTTTGGGAAAAAAAAAAAAACAGGCCAATGCATACCAGATGTAGGGAAGCATTGCAGAGGCCCTATTTGTCTCCTACTCTCAGGTTCAGAGAGCCCCATCTTCCTTTCTAAAGGCAAGCGCTGATGCCAGTAGATCACAGAAAGATCGGGGATCTGGAAAACCATGATTTCTTTGGAGGTTGGTCCCTTGCCCTGTTTCCCCTCTCTTCCACAAATTCACTCTCAAGTATTAACAGAGGTGGGGAATCCATAAAAGATTCTTTAGGTCTAGTCCTAGGTTCTCAGAGCCTCCAGGGCAGACTCCTCTCCCTGCTTTGCATGGACCTGCCCTTGTTTAGGATCATTTTGTCTGTTGCCAGATCTTCTGCAGCCATCTGGAGTCTCCCTGAGTTCACTTTCCATATTAATACCTCATTTGAAAGGTAAAGTGATCACATCTCTATTGGGTTCCAGAACCTTCAGTGTCTCCCCATTCCCCAAACCAAGGTGAGCATCCAGGGCCTTTCTTGACACCACACTTACAGATCTCCCCAGAAGGCGTCACATTCTTTCCCCCAACCTGTCTTTCTCTCCAGGGTTCCATGTCACTCAGTTTCCCTCGTATATCCATGGTCCTTTCATATCCCTGTTTTCTTGTAGGCTATTCCCCAGCTCCTGGAATGCATTCTCCCTTCTTTAGTTTATTACTGAAAAGTAAAATAACAGTGTTCTTTACAGAAATGTGTTAGCAGTGGTGTTGCTACTGAGAGTCACAAAACAGTTCAGGATCATGGGCCAGAACATCAGAAAACCTAGCCCATCTCTGTCTCTTACCAGATGAGTTATGTCAGTCAAAGACCCCAAGCCTGGGAACTGGAGGCTCCCACCTTTCTTCAGAGGACACTTTCTGGTAGGATACACTGGAACAATGACTTTCAAACAAGATGCAGATCAGAATCACCCTGGGATCCTTTAAAACCCCCGAGGCTCAGGCCTTACATCAGAACCCTTACCCCTCAAGCTCTATAAGGAGAGGCCTAGTTATGGTCCTTTCTTAAACTCCCCAGGGGATTTCTGAGGGTGGCCTTGTCTGAATACTGGTGAAGGAGTTCAGGCCTTGGGCTCTGGAGTTCATCAGAAACCAGTTTTGAATTTGGTTTCCTTTGTCTCCGAGTTCAGAGATCTTGGGTGATGTGTTTTTTGAAAAGACATTTTCATATTTAGAAGAGTTTTAGATTTACAAAAAGTAGTGAGAATGCTATAGAAAATTCCATTCCCCCTGCACCAGGTTTATCTACTATTATCATCTTACATTTGAAGGGTAGATAGATCAGAAGGAACCAATTTTGATGTATCATTGCTATGTTTCTCCTCTGTAGAGTTCCTGCTTTCCCCCTGTCCATCCTGGACCCTTTGGAAGGAAGTCACTATGTGCTGCCGGCCCTTAAGGGAGGCACACTTCTGCTCCGTGTCCTCAAGGGCATTTACATGGATTCTATGCCATTCTTCTCCGTGGGAAACTTGTCTATTCTTACCATTTATGGGTTTGTATTTGTATTTATATTTCGGGTTATTATACGGCACTATTTCATCTGTTTTGTTGCTTGAATTGTTTCAGCTTTGGCTGTTGAGGCTCTTTCCACGGGCTCCTGGGTCTGTTTGACATAACCTGCCACTGAGGAGTTCTTTGAGCACTTTTTAATGATGCTCCAGATTCATCTTGAATATTTCTTGCCCCTGTTCTAGAATCAAGCATTTCTTTAAGGGGCCCTTGTTATTTTAATTGGAAAATGGCATTAGAAACCAAGACGGGAGCACTACGCGTGCTCATTGCTGCTAGGAAGTCATTGCTCTTCGGTTGGGCCACATTTTTAACTGTGCTTCAGTTTGCCCAGCTGTAAAGTGGGGATAATAATAGCTCTTTCATCAGAGGTTGTTTTCAGGGTTAAATTATAGAATGGGTGTAAGAGCTCAGTGCAGTTGTGACAAGATAGTAAATGCTCAAAAAATGTTAGTGATTATTATTTCCTATAGAATATGTTTATGTTTCTCAAAAATTACTTTTTCCTATCTGTGAATTTATTTGACTGAAAAATCTCAGGGGAGATTTTTCTGCAAGTTTTATAGATGGTAAAATGAAACAGATAAGGGAGTCAACCTACATTTCTTAATCACCCTAAGTCTCTTGATTTCAATAGCCATTCTAGACCATGATTGTCTGCACCTATGCCATATGAGTGATCTAGATCTCCCTCCCTGACTCTTGCCTGCCTCTTATTTGAAGAGTTATCTCTTTCTCAGTGCTGGTATATCTTTGCTTCATGCTCTCTGTGAATGAGATTAGCTCATGGCAGAAAGAAAGAATATACTCCAACCCAGAGCAGGTCAATCTAGACACAGTGCCCCAGTGCCAACAAAAAAAAAATTTTCTGAATCAAACATTGAATACATGACCTGAAAAGCTCCCCCCACCCTGAAAATAGAGTGTGGGTGGCATTCAAAAGATAGAATTTGGGTGCTGAAACATTTGCATTATATGATGTTTTGAAATTCACAGGAATAGTAACACAAGGTACCAAAAAAAAAAAAACTAGAATATGCTTTAGTGTTTATGACATGACTTTCCCATCAGAGTCTTTCTCTTTCTCTCTCACTCTTTCCATGGAACAGTGATTCTAGTCAAATAGAGTACAATTTTGAAATATGAAAACAACTCACTATATTCATCAGTGCATGAAAAAACATACAAGCCAAACACAGATTTTTGACTCAATGCAGATGTTTATTGGAACGAATATGTATTTTCCCATAAGAACAGCAGCTTTTGTTGCTAATGAAATACAGTAGTGCTAAAACAGCATTTAAGGTATGAAATTATAGCTTTAGTTATCCAGACTACATTCTAGGGAGGTGGATTTTGGTTGCATAGAAGAGAGAACTTTTTTGTTTTGGTTTTGGTACCGGGGATTGAACCCAGGGGTGCTTTGCCACTGAACTGCATTCTTTTTATCTTTTATTTTGAGACGGGTTCTTGTTAAGTTTCTTAGGGCTTCGCTAAGTTGCCAAGACTAGCTTTGAACTTGTGATCCTCCTGCCTCAGCCTCCCAAGTCACTGAGATTACATCATGCACCCCTGTACCCCAAGAGAAACCTTTTTTTAAGAGCAGCATATTTTAAAGTTGGAATGGGCTGTGTTTGGAGGTAGTGAGTTTGTCATCATTAGAAAGGTTCAGGTATGAGGTCATAGAGTTAAGATGGTCCTGACACCCCTATTCTCTGCTGCTGTGGCTCTGTGAGGTATTTGGGTTGGTTGGACCTTAGCAGTAGTGCAGGAGTTGCACATTTAATAGATTCTTATAGATCAAGGGGAAGCCAAGATTCCACTGCCCGTTTACACATTGTCTCTGAATAAGAATGAAGTTGCACTTAGAATAAAGAGGATAAACTGGATCAGAAATCAATATCTGTGCATAAATCCTCAGGCTAAGCCCTGTTTAGTATTCTGACTCTAAGAATAAAGGCTCCTTTAGATATTGGTTCTCCTCACAGACACTGGTCTCTAGGATGTGCCATTTCATGGGAGAAGCTTTGGTAACCTAGAGAAGCTTGAGTGAATAGTTACTCCTGTTCTCTCACCATCTGGAAGGCTTCCCTCTGTCTTACCCATTGAGATGCCCACCCTCCTCAAGACCATCTCCTCCTGGAAGATTTTTCTGGCATTTCCTTCCCCAATACCTCCATACCAGAATGACTTTTCTTTGACCTCTGTGCCTCTCTCAAACTTAGCACTTCGTGGGGTATATTCCTGTACACTGCAGTCACTTATCTAGGCATCACGTCTCTCAGCAGGAGCTCCTGGAAGGCGTGACTCATACTCTTCTCATCCCACTACCCGGTGCAGCAGACAGCACAGCCTCAAGCCTGTGGAACTCCCAGGCAGTGCTGTGACATGGGAAGGTACAGTGTCTTGGGATGACTGTTGGGGTGATTTCAAAATTTGGTGTCACAATTCTTCTTCGGTGTTTTACACAGAACTCCAGCTTGTCTGATTGGCATCTGATGAAGCTGGACTCCCTTATTCTCTTCCCTTTGCAGAAGAAAAAGCAGGGCACACAGAAGTCGAGGCAGGTTTTGCATGGCTGTCCCTGAGTGTTCAGCTGAGGGCTTAATGCCTACGAGTACTTGCTCACTTCCTCACTTAGCAAGAGACCCAAAGTGACCACAGCAGCTGCTGTGCAGGTCAAGAGCTCAAATTTTTCATCCAGAGACATTCTGGCAGAACAGAAGACAGAGGCTCGGGACTTCTGATCCCTGAAGAGCTTGTATCTTGGAGCTCTGGAGTTGAGGAATTCTCTATACGCTCCCTGAGCAAGGAGGAAGTGGTTCTTGGATAAGGGAGGACTACTGATTGAGAACATTCATGACCTTGCAAGGCAAGGGAGCTCAGAGTGGGGCACAGGGGTGAGGAATTGGGAATGGCTGCCTGGGGCCATCTGTGGACACAGAGAGCTCAGGGGACTGAGGTCTAGCTTGCCAATGCCCACCCGCAGCAGCCTGGGTCTAGGGAAGGCAAGGAGCCCAGGGTCCAGAGCAGTTGCTTTTCTTAGGAATATGGAAAGATCTTTTGGCTGCACTTTGCCTGGTTTATGTCTTTGGGAAACAGGGTGTGGTGGGCAGTGGTGGAGATTGCAGGAGCAGCAGCAGCATTTTGTCTCCATCTAAGCTCTTTGAAGTTAATGAAATTTTGGCCTTTGGGTTACTTTGGCTTTAACTCATCTCATCAGGGAAAATTGGACTTCATTGGATCCTGGATTGTCAGAGCTGGAAGGGCCCTTTGAGATGACTTGCATAGGATCACAGGATGAGCTGGGAGGGGGACAAAACTGGTTCTAGCATCAGATATCTGACTTCCCAGAACCCAATCCCCAGTCTCTCTCCTGGCAATTGCTTCTCTGTCACTCTCACAACTTGGTACCTAGCTCAAGTGCATAACCACCTTGCTGTGGGGCATGCCGCAGGTCTAAGACCCTTGTTTGTTTTACTTCTTAATGGGGGAGGGTTGGGGTTGGGAGAGTTGTAGGTGGCAAAGAAGCACATAGAGGGCAAATGGAGGAGATGGTCAATGGGGGAGGACAGGTGTATCACTAATCAGGCCTGAGACCCAGCCAGGGGTTTTGCAAGGCGACTTCATTTGCCTATAGTTGATCTAAGTCACATCTATGGGACACTTAGTTTAGGCTAGGCACTGGTTAAGAACTATGTATATGTTAATTAATTTGATCATCATCAGGCTTTTATGAGGTAGGTAAGGTGTGTCACTTGCAATGTTATGAATGAAGAAGCAGAGTCAGAGGCCAAATCAGCTGTCCGGCATCCTGACGCTTGTAAGTGAAGGGGACCTGGATTTGGCCTTGAGTTCTGCCCACTCTGCTACTTTGCCTCTTAAAAAGAGGGGGAAGGAGACAGCATGTTCCCGCACTTGCTCTTTGACAGGTGGGCTGAATGAAGGGGAGAAGGCTGAGGGACCAGGGAGAAGTGACTGCGAGCATGAGATAATTATCTTTAGCTGCTGACTGGCCGCAGAAGGCAGTGATGACTGAAAGCTGAACTCAAGTTCTCACCCCGGTGACCCTCTGGATCCAGCCCTTGTTGTGATAGATGTCCGAATACACTCCATAGAGATCCTTCTTTCCACAGTCCTCACCCCAGGACACCGTGCCCACCAGGTACCATTGGCCTCTCTTCATATCCAGAGTCACCATGGGGCCTCCAGAGTCTCCCGCACAGGCATCCTTCCCTCCTAGATGTAAAGGAGATGCCAATTAAAATTAGGGTGCCCCTTCCCAGCCCAAATCCAGAGGAAGCATCCTTCTCTCCAAATCTGACTTGTAGTTTAGAGAATTTGGCACTAGAGGGCGCAGCAGACCGTGTGACCCAAACCTGAGCTCTTGAGTCGTTTCCCTCAGGCTTCAGAGCTCAAAATGAGTTTAGAAAGTGCTGGTTCAAGAAAGGAGCGATGGAAATCCTTAGCATGTTTCTCTCGGATGCAATGGAAGCTCTCCCCACAGGTTGGGAGGGCTCTGGCCCTTCACTGCTGGGCGCTGGTGCCCATGTTGTATGTCAGCATAACATACCTTCCTTTTCCCCAGCACAGAGCATGTCCTCGGTTACTATCTTCTTCCGCTGAGCATAGTTCTCCTTGCAGGTATGGTGGTTAACAATGGGGATTTCAATCTGGAACACAAGGGTATTGTTGGTTCCCACTCCTTGCCATTCTGACACCCCTGGAGCGTCTAGATCCACCTTAGATTTGGTGCCAGTGAAGAAACAATTGAATGGAGAACCCAGGGCTCATGTTCTGGTCCCATCTCAGCTATGAACTTGCTATGTGTGACCTCGGACAAGTAATTTGACCTTCCTGGGACTCAGTTCTTACATCTATAAAATGGAGATACTACTATTTGCCTAGCATATATTAGTTCAAATATGTCATCATGTACAAGAACCATGGACTGTTTCTTTCCCTTGCTCTTACCGTGGGATGAGGCTTATGGCTTAATCACTGGTTCTCAGACTTCCAAGGCTATTTCCTCATCCAAAATGTGGGAGCCATCGTGTTTGATATACTAATCATGTGGAGTTATTTGCAGAGAAAACAAATGAACAAGAGCTTTGAAAAGTATAAAAGCTGTAACTATTAGTACTTTAGGGGTCATCCTGGCTTGCTTTACAGCAAACATTCACTGTGTTTCTCTCCCTCTCTATGGGATGTGCCTCTGGACACTGAGTCTGTATGTTGTCCATTTCTATGTTACATAACTGGGAAAATAGTAAATAATCAATATTTTTAAAAAATTGAGGTGTAAATGGATACATAAAAACAAGATATTGTGATCATCATCATTCTGGATTCAGCATGGGGTAAATGTTGGAGTAACTATTTGAAATAAAAAGGGGAAACATGAATCTCATTCAACCTGGCCAAGAATTGAATGGACCAGATGCTCCAACATACACTTTCTGTTGGTCCTTGTTAAGAGGGAACCAGAGGCCATTCAGATTCTTTTTGGGCTAGGGCCTTGCCTAGATAAGTGGGAAGAGGAAGCCACATTGTGAGACATGTCCGCACTAAACTATTGAGTACCCTATTAACCTCTTCTGATCATTCAGTATATCACCTAAGTGTCATGTCCTGGGGAAGTCTTCCTCAATCCCCAAGATAAGATTGGATCCCCCACATTCCAGAGTCCCCTGAACTTCTCCATCGTCACCTTTATCACACCCATAAGTACTTTCTGATGTACCTACTTGACTATAAGCCCAAGGAGGCTGGGAACCAGATCTGTCCTTTTATCCACCCTCCACCCCAGCACACCTAATAGCTACTATAGAGGAGACACTAAATAAACAACTGGGAGTTCATGAATGAAGGGATGTTTCAGATGTGCAATTTCAAAGTGTGTTAAAATAATGCATATTGAAGGATTTAGAAGCTAGCTGTGTCACAGAATTAGTTATGTTAGAGCCAGGCATTTCATAGAGGTCATCTAGTGTTGCCCTTGAATTTGGCAGTTGGAGATGGTATGCTATGGCCTAAAGAGGCAAAATGACTTTTTCAGATAATCCAATAAATGAGTAGAAGCCAAGATGGGGAGCCAGGGCTTGGCTCTTTATGTCTAGTTTGGTGTTCTCTTCTAAAATGACAGAAATGTGACCTTCTAAATGCAATGGTGAAGTTTATGTTTGCAAGGACTGGGGTTCGCAAGAGCCTGTCCCATTTCTTGGATATGTCGTCCTCCTGGTGTAAAATGAATCATGAACCTTTGTGGTGTGCAAACCTGTTGTTTTCTTGGAGAATTTCCATAATCTGGGGCGTTAATAAGCTACCACGGACACTGAACAGCGTTTGGAGGCTAGAGTCTACCATCGGCAGAATAAACAAGTCAAGGTTTCTGGGTTCCAAAGTCCCACTGAACTGTGGAGGGGAGACTGGATTTCTGGCCTCTCTTTCACCAGCCTGCCCAAGCCTCCAAATCCTGAGAAAGCAATGTGAAGCATGAAGGCCAGCAAGGGCCAAGGTGTCATTGTTTGTAGGATATAGATTGAACTTCACCTCCATCAAGGTGTCTGGGAACCTCTGCAAGAACTGCTTCCCCCAGCCGCTGACGATGACCATGGTTCCTGGAGGAGAGGAGACACTGTCAGGACACAGGGGCTGTCTGTGGGGTGTTCAGAATGCTGCATCTTGTAGTTCTGTCACCCTCTGCCTGTAGGGGAAGGGCTGAGTTTGCTACTTCAGAGAAAGGCAGCAAGATGGAGAGGAAGGTGGGAAAGGCTGCTGAGTTGGAGGTGATCTGTGACAGAATAGGGGACATTTGTTTCTATGATATGTCACCTGATTTATTTGTCTATTTTCTTCTACCCCCCAACAAGCCTGGAACATAGGCTCTGTGAGAGCAGTAATCTCATCTACCTTGTTCACTATTATATCCCCTGGCCTCTAAGGATGTTGACACATAGTAGGTGCTCAACAAATTATTGTGAATAAATAAAAAGCCCAGCCTAGCCAACAATATGCTATGCTACCTTTAGGAAGACTTATCCGAGATTTCTCTCCTTCTATGCCTCAGCCCCCTTATCCATAAAATGATGAAGCTGGACTTGGCATTCTCTAAATATTTTCTAGCTCTGACATTCTAGAAGCTATGAAGGTGGCAAATCTGGGGACAATGTGGAAATGGATTGAATGCTAACAGAACAAGTGTAATCTTACTTGAGAAAGAGCCTGGATACTGAAAATAGCACTGGGCTTAAAGTCAGAAAACCTGGACACTAGCTTCAGATCTGCTTTTTATAAACTATATATTGGATGAATTACTTTACTTTGCGGAGCCTCCATTTTCTCATCTGTAACATGGGGCTATAATACAAGCGTGCAAGGCTTCCATGAGTAGTAAGTGAAGGATACAAACCATCTGGCACGTGGTAAGTACACAGCACCCAAATAGTTAAAGTCAGCTGACTCTGTGCCTTTTCTGTCAGTTCACTTCCCATAAGTACTTCTCAGATTCTACCTTAGCAAAATTTTTAGCAGCTTTGAGCTAAAGGAGTGAATTATGATATGGTATCACTGAATTTAGAATGAAAAGGAAGTCAACTGGCATGAGCTGGTCTCTTATTCTATGTTGGATTTACATTATCTCATTTATATTATCTATTTAAATATCACAATCACCCCAAGGGGTATTGCCTCCAGTTTAGAAGTCAGTAGACGGGGCTTAATGAGGCCAAGTACTTTCCTTTGATCACCTAACTGGGAATGCAAGCAATGGGATTTGACTCTGTGCTGGCTATTAAGCTATTGTGCCTTGGCTTCAGCCTTACCTGTCTATGCTTTGCTTTGTGGTACTAGGAGTGAGACTCTGAAATGGCAGTTCTGCTTGTCCGGCTGGTGTCCTGAACATAGGAGGCATTTTCAGGGAGATTGGAGGATTTCCTTAATGGTTTTTTACTCTACTGGTGGCAATTGGTTTCAACTATTTTTCTTAACCCATCAGCCTCTTCTGTGGAAGTCTAAGTTCTAGCTCCAAAGGGCCCCTCTCCAAGCCTCTAGATTCTATAATTCCAGCCTCTTCCTTTTGTTCCCCAAGACCTAGAGGTAGAGGTTTCTTCCTGTTGGTAGTCAGTTTTTCCCTTTTACTTATTTATTCTGCTAATACCCTATCATAAATTCTCTCTGTAGCCATCACTAGTCTGGATTTTGTTTTCCTATCTGGATCAGTGGGCCTGCCTGTTTACTGTGTGCCTACCACTACCTCCAAACTAGTTCTGACTTTGCAGTTTTAGGGTAGGCATCCAGGGGATTATGTAGCCACCAATGGCTGACTCAATTGGCACCAGAGCCTCCCCAAGACTGGAGAACTCCCTGCTCAGATCCCAGCTGCGCTGCGGAGGTGGGATCGGGGTTTGGGGAAGGTACCTTCCTGTGGGGGCTCCTCAGGCAGACATATGGGCATCACAAAGTCATTCAGTATTGGGCTTTCCAGCAGCTCCACCAGAGCCACATCGTTCTCAAATGTGTGGGGTTGATACAGCGGATGGAGGATGAAATGTTTGACACCGAGATGCTGTTCGTTTTCATCAGACCGGAGCCTCCAGTGCTTGCCTGTGCAAGAGGAAGACATGTGAGGCACGAGGATAATGGAGGATAAGGTCCCACCTTGTCACATCTGATGCCATCCAGGGTCTGCTTCCAGACTTAACCTTTTCCTTGCCTTTCACCCACCCATTGCCTTAGTTAACTTTTCCTATGCCTCTTGCCACAGTCCAATATCCTCACCTCCCAGTGCCTCGGTCACACGTTGCCTCCTCCATGAAGCCTCTCAGACACTTCAGTTAGAAATCTTTCCTCTACTACCAAATGAGCTGCTTCCTACCTTGGGTCAGATGGCCCTGCATTTGTATCTTGTTCCTCTGTTATACGGTAGCTCCTTGTGGGCAGGAGCTAGATATTCATGACATTGTGTCATTCAATCCTGGCAGAGTGTATACCTGAATTGAATCAGCTATTGATCTTATACAGGAAAGCCTTGAAAAATGGCAGGAGCAGAACCCTGTTCCAAGAACCACTTCTCATTTGCACCTCACTCACCCATAATGATCATAAAGTCAGAAGGGCTGAGCAAGTATGAGTCATCCAGGGTCAAGTCGTCTGAATCGAGGTATTGGTGGAGGCAGTGAGCAGCAGTCACAATCCAGTTGGAGCCTGGAGAACAGAACACACAAACACCACGTCCTTCACCACCCTGTCCTGCCTCCCAGTGTCTTGAGCTAAGGGACTTGAGACTGTTCCAGGGCACCCCTTCAGACCTTACAAAGGGTCAAACTCCTCTCTGTTGCATCTCACGGTCTCAGACACTTACTTGGTACTAATTGGAAGATGAGGTATAAAACCTGATTTCAATGGCCTGTTTCAAATCACACCAGGACTCAATGTTTTAAAGAGAGTTTCAGGGTTCCCTTAAACCTATGATGGGGGTGATAAACAGCTGAAGGTGGGCCCACAACAACTTGTGCTCACTGGCTGCCTCTCTGGCCTTACTTCTCAAAGTGTGGTCCCTGGATCAGCAGCATCAGCCTCACCTGGAAACTCCTTTGAAATGAAAACCAAATCAAAGCCTGCACTTTAGCATGATCCCTAAATAATTCGTGGGCTCATTACCGTTTGAGTAGAATGATCAGTAGCTAGCAGCCAAGTATATTTATTATGTCTTGGCTACCTTCTTCTCCTGGGCAGATATATTCCTCAACTTTTTTGTTTAATTTAGGCCAGGCTATCCTTTAGGTGAGACAGATGACAAGTCCATAAGTAGCTGAACTCTGAGGTGTACCCTGGATGAGCCAAGCCAAAAGAAAGGCTCTAGGCTTAGGGGGTAAGCGTCAGGGTTATTAGGTTAGAGTTCAAAGTCAAGGGAAGAGGTACTTTTCTGGAGCAGATCCCAAACCCCTCGGCCCCTGTCTCTACATAGACTATCACAAGGCTACCCTCTTTCCCCTCTAGTTGATCTTGACCCCACCCATGGTCAGGAGATGTTGGGTTGACTTTTCAGGTAGGTAATGTTGGCTAAAATACCCAGTTTAGGGGAGCCTGCCTCAGAAAGGGGATCTGGGCTATTTAGATGAGCCCAGCACTGTGCACTGGCTTGTCTGCATGGCCTCACCCTCCAGCTCTGCCAATCCCTCTGCCCAGCCTCCCTGTGGGCATCAAGACTGTGCTTTGCCATCTCCTCCATCCCTTAGCTCCCTCTGGGCTCCCCTGCCATCTCCTACCTCTCCTTCCCTCCATAAAACCGAAGCACCGAGGAAAGAGAGTCTAGTTTGTGAGATCTCAGGGAGGGTGAGGTGTGAGGGAGCTCTTGGCTTGGGTGAGGGTAGAGAAGTGAACTTCAAACAACTCTCAAACACGAGTTGTAGGGAATAAGGCAGGAACATTGTTGATTTTTAAAACTCAAGGTTTAAAACAATGAATTTAAGTTTTAAAACACTGGGCACATCATCCATCTCTTTCACTTGCCTGACAAGCCACCTGGCCTGGCTTCAGCTCGCCTGTCACTCTTCCTCACCAGCTCTCCTCTCTTCCTCTCTGCACGTGGGGGTCCACCCCTCCCTTTCTTCTTCCATGATTTCTCCTCTCCCTCGGGGATCACACATCTTACCAGTCTGTCTTCTTGTTGTATTGTGCCTTTTAATTTCTCTTTTCACCCCTCAGTCTCCTTTCTCTTATTTCCTAGGTCTCTCTTATTGGTCTCTTTCTGTCTCTTGGTCCTTTCTGCTGCTGACCGGCTCCCTCTGTTTATCTCCCTTTCCTCATCTTTCTTGGTCTTCTCCCCAGCCCTGCTCCCTACTGGGTGGCCCTCAGGCACAACTGGCTTTACATCGTCCTTCTCTTTGACACCTTTGCTCGCTCTTCCTGTCCCATTGAGGCTCCACTGAGTGGGATCCTTCATCTTTGCTCTCATGGGAATTAGAGTAGGGACTTCACATATCTCATTTGCCAATTCACCCATTCCCGGAGGTAAGAACATGAATGAACTTGAAATCATCTACATCCAGGCAAAAATGCAGCAGGGAGAGCCATCAGCTGTTCCTTCCCCACCTTGCCCCCACTCCCACCCACATTCAGACCTTTACAAAGCTGAAAATCTTCTCTTCCAATGCTTTTTAGTCAGCCCCCCCTCATTTCCATCCCTTGTGCCCTTACTTCTTACTTTGAGGCTTATGACTTCTCTCCCCACAATTGCAAATAGTTACCACACTGAATTACTAGCTTTTAGATTCCTTCCTTTTGGTCTAGATTTCCCCTAGACAGAACTTTCCAGAACATGCTTATAAATCTGCAGTAGTGCACAGGATCTGATGTAAATCTCTAAATGTGGCATTTGAGGCCTTTGCAGATCTACCTTCCCTGACTGTCTGAGGGTAAGTTTCTTGGTTTTTCCTAATCGTACAACCCTGTCACAGCCTGCTTTTGATCCAAGGTAATTGCCTTGTATTGCAATTCATGTTTGATAGTCTGATTCCTTGATGTGGTCCTTCTTGGGGCCAGAGACTGATGAGGATTTAGGAGGTGTTTGGCATCTGAAAGAATTGGAACACACGTCTCCTGGTTCCAGTTAAGAGTTCCTTCTACCACAGTATACTGCTACAGACAGCAATTCTGAACAAAGAGAACTTGGTCTGCCTTCAGGAACAGGATCAGGTAGCCCCCACCCTGCCACCAGTCCTGAGTCCTTCACCCCTTCCACCTCCTCCTTACCTACAAGGGTGCCCCCACAGAAGGGCTGCCCATTTGGGTGAGACAGCATGGCAATCCAGGGAGCGGTGCCCTTCTGGGCTGGGCGTCCATTGAAGATCCTGGCCATCAGCGTCTGGGAGAACTTGGGAAGACCACACACTGCAGCCAAGGGAGGAAGGGACAGATCATACTCTGGCCTCCATCTTGCCCATTTCCAGGGTTACCAGTTTATCGCCCTTTTAGGAACACCTGTTAGTGTTGCCCCATCTGATAATGGTACCATGAGTTTTCTTCAGGGTCCATTTTTTTGGTCTATGTAGCCTAAGTTGGACTGACTTCACCTCTGGTTTCAGGGAAGAGGATTGTGACTAATCAAAACCCTGGATCCCTTGATCACAGCAATTGCTTAGAGATGGGATGTGAAACTTGGCCAAGCCAATGAAAGCCTAGCTTGAAAATTTTGCTAAACATACTAGAAAAAGAGAAAGTCATTTTCTACAGGGGTTGCTTGGCTGTTGGCCATAAGCCCACACCTGCTGGTGATACTCTCATGAAGAGTTGGCTGAATAATGCTATTCACCTGGAGGACAGCGGAACTGGAAGACTAGGGGAGAAGAGATTGTCTTCCGATTTTTTGAGCCCTTTGAGCTAACCATATTGAGTCCGTTTGGTAGAACCTTTTCATTATGGGAACCTATACACTCTCTCTTTCTTTGTCTTCTTATGCTGTTTATATTGCATTTCTGTCATTTAGAAAAGAAAGTTCTGACTAATAAAGGAAATTCATGCTCTAACTGCAGAGGCCTATTCTCAGAGAAGCCCTACAAGAAGTGTCTGTCTGCTCCATCCCCTGTCTTCTGCTGACCTGAACTCCCAAACATCCATGTACATCACAGCCTGACAAAAATCACAGATAAATATGCTGCAACCTTGACTGAACCTCCAGCATCTCCCAGTGTCATTCTCTGTGCCTAAGTTCAGCTGCCTCAATGGAAGTCCTGTCCCCCTTCCTACCGGATGCTCAGGAGTCCATTGGGTGGGAGCTCCTCCGTCATCCTCCTCCCCATATCCTCCTACTGTCAACTTTCTTCTCTTCATAACCAAGCCTGTGCTCTGGATCTTGTCACTTAACTCTCAGGGACCTGGCTCAGCTCCTGTATTTTCCATCTCTGCTTTTCCTCTGCCTCTAAAACATGGTCAAGCATTTTCATCCTAAAAACCAACTTCCATTTCCCTGCTTCTCTCTCGTGCCACAGCCTCTTCTTTTCCCTTCCACAGTCAAGCTTCTGCACAGAGGGGTGGATGCTCAGTCTTCCCTCTCCTTTGGAGTTGGATTTAGAAGAAGAAAGTGCCACATACTATACAGACTTAAATTTTGTCTGATGTATTCTTCCTCCTAGGCATTAGTTCTCCTTGTCCTGGGATTCCCCAACCACTGAAGCTGGGATACCCATCACATTGGGGAAGAATGGATAGGCTTTGGATTTTGAAAGAGCAAAGCCTAAACCAATGTCTACAAAGAGACTTTTCATTTGCAGAGGTAGGGATTGTGGTAAGAATAAAAACAAAAACAAAAGCAAACAAACATACAAAAACGTGTAGGCTATAGGGAATCAAACCCTGGGGGACTGAGTGCATAATTTTTACTGTACGTAGAAGCTCTTTTCAGAGCCAGTGAAGAGGCTGGAGGAATGGAGGAGGGAGACACCCCGGGTGGAGGGACAATGAGAGAAAGACATAATGCACCTGGGGGTCCTGTTCTCTGTCCTCCCTGAGATGGCCATTGAGACCTGGGCCTGTGCTGGGGAACATCCACCCCAGGACCTTCTCCTGGACCCTCAGCTGTAATGCATGCCCTTGAGCTCTTCACCCTTCTTGACGATTTCCTGTCCCTGGCTTCTGAATACTTTTCTTCTTGTTTTGCTCCTCCCTCTTTCTTTTTTATTTTCTCTTTTCTCCCTCCCTACTTTTTTTTTTTTTTTTTTGGTCCTTTCTTTTGCTCTGTTTCTTTCTTGGGGCATCTCTTCATGATCTCTATGCTGGTATTTGCCTTGTTGAGCCCTTAGGCTCCTTTTTGTTTTCTGCACATTTCCAATAGATGAAAATCCACCCTTCTGCCATATTCTACCTAAATGCTAATGAATTTCATCTCAGTGTCTTTAAATCTGCCCTGTTTCTCTGGAACTCACTATTCTTTACTGCCTACTTAAACTCTTCAAAGTTAAAGATGCTAAGCCCTGTTCACCAGCTTTCATGAACTTTCTCCTCTTGTTAGCCAGACCTCTGTGAATGTCTGCAACAACCACGTTTCTGTTGCCTCCCTTTTCTTCTACCCCCATATTGAGTCAGTCCCTAAGTTGGTGTTAAATCACTAGGAGAAGCAGCCCAATGCCTGGTCCCCATCCATGTCCCAATATTCTCCATAGAACCTTAGCATCTTGGAATGTCACAACATAAATTCCAAACATCTAGAAGAAAACAAGAATCTGAAATGTAGTAGAACACCGGATATGATAGTCCTTGAAACCAGCAACATACGAAGCATGAAGTCTAATTTAGGATTCTCTCAGTTCTCAATAGTGTAAAAAGCATGACACAAAAATAAAAGCATGATACAAACCCCAAACAAACGCAAGACGTGTGTGTGTCCCCTGGAGAGCCCTCACTCTCAGGTTGACTCACATCAACCCCTGCACCCTAAAGCTTGCACAATCTCAAGAGATGCCTAAGGCCAACCTTTACTGGGATTACAACCGAAATGGATTTAAACTTCTGACCTCATGTTTGCACTGTCACAGCTCCTTGGTTTGGTGGGTTCTCCCCATCTCTTGCCAGGATAGTCTCAGTAGTTTCCCAGCCATTCTCCCTAGCTCAGTCCCTTTCCCTCCACTTTCCACATCACACCGCCTGCTCTCAGACCTGCCAAATTCTCAATTTTCAGTGGGTGAGACCCAGCAATCTACATTCCTAACAAGCACCCCTACCCCATGATTCTGATTGATAGACTTCAAACTTAGAAAATCCCTTGTCACAGGTCAGAGTGCAGAGTACAGCTTTTAGATTCTTTCAACTCCTTCGATGCACACTGCTTCCACTCCAAATGTGGCTCACTTTCCTGTGTTGATAACTTTGCCTACTCTGCCTCTTCCTGCCCATCTCCAAGTACATCTTTGAAGTCTCTGCAAAGCCATTCTGATCCCCTCTAGCTGTATAAAATCACATCTTCCTTTAATTAAATTCCCATGATATTTAAATAGCAATTTCTCTTATGATGTCCAATTCCTTTTGCCTGTTTAATACTTAGATAAACACAACTTTGTCTCCCGCGCTAGTGTGAACTCTTTGAAGCCAAGGACTCAAATGACAGGCACTTAAATGGAGGAGCATGCACCCTCTGAGAAGGGAACATATCAATAACAAAGTCCTCTCTTTGACACTTCTTCTTGGGTGATGCCCAGATGCCATAAGTGGGTTTTTTTTGTTTGTTTGTTTGTTTTTTTCCTGTAGCAGGGGAAATTTTGGTTTAATGAGGGGGCCAATTTAAAAAATCAAAACAAATGGTCACACTTCAACAACAATAATAAAACTCCCAAACTAAGGCTATTGGTTATCCACAGAGGGTTTATTTCCACTTTGGACCCCTGACAGCTGAGACAGAGTGCAGAGGCCCCTTACAGAGTAGCAAAGCATGTGATATTAAATATACAAAATATAGCATTCTCTACATGCACCATTCATAGGTATAGGAGTGTGTTTTTATGAACTGACTGGAAAAGTGAACATTTCCCAATTGTTCTCTGGCTGCATTTGTCTGATGAAGATTCTCAGGGAAAAGAGCTCTGAGGGGGCACAATCAGCCTGTGACAGCCAGAGACAGGCTGCTGGCAATCAGAGAAGTGCTGAATGCAAGAGATGGAAAGACCCTAAGGGGCTCTTATGACTTCCCTTACAGATAGGGAAACTGAGGCTCAACGGGAAAATGATTTGTCAAAGGTTATATAGCCAGTGCCAGTTGGAGACAGAGACAGGGCTAGAAACCAGCATTCATGGCTCTCCCATTTTTTCACTGTCACCAATGAGTCTCTGCTTCCCTTGATCTCTGGTTCCCAGAAAGCACAGGACTGGATCTCTCTGAATATCCTGCTGGGTAGATTCTCTGCTGAGCTAGGTCCATTGGCTATAGAGCAGGACGTAGGTGACTCCTAGAGTCCTGAGTTCACCCTTTCTTCCATTTTCCTGTCCAGAAGCACAGTGGGATACAGTGTGCACCTTCTCTTTTCCCCAAGTAACAGCCAAGTCTCTCTCCACATTTGCTCTCAGGGTTCAGGTAGTTTGTTCAGATGACTCATTTCAGGGATGAAAGGTTGCTTCGCACTTGTCTGGAGTGGTACAGATTGACAGCCTGGGATGTCAGCCATTCAGGAGTGGCATGTGGGCCCAAGTGATGTTCTGAGCTGAAAGTAGGAATTCCAGGGGCTTGGGGACCCTCCTACTGCTATTGTCTTCCTCAGTCAATGGTTTTCTCTTTGTCCTTGACATTTCTTTAATAGGTAATATAAAGGATGAAACTTGGACTGGAAGAAGGTTGAAGAGGAATCCTAAGAGCAAAGGTGCTCCGAGTTATTGTACTAGAGAGGAAGGCTCCCCCCCCCACCCAGTTTTATGATCTCTATCCGCCATACCTGAATGGTTTTCTCCTAGAGGAGGGAGTGGATTCGATATAGGCCCAGAGTGCAGAGCTGGGTCAAAATATGAATGCAGAGTTAGGTTCAATGCTAGGAATCATTTCCTAATAATCAAGCTCAAATATACCAACAGTGGGCCCAATAGGTTTGATATATAATTAGGAGTGAATAAAGGCCATGGTATAAAGCTTGCCAGAGAGGAGTGCTAGATGGGCCCAGAGGTCTTCTGGTCCAGCTTTCCCACTGTATTGCTGGAAAGAGTGAAGGCCAGTGAGGGGAATGGAATTGACCATGGTAGTGGACATTGGTCTCTTGCCTAGAACCTTTTCCTTATACAACACTGCTGCCTCTCAGGGTCCTGGGGTCCATCTTAGGAGGATGAGTGCCCCAGTAGGTCACTGTGTTCCATTCTATTTGGTCTGTTAAGTAACATGGAGTGTGCTGTTGGAGGTGTGTGGTGTAGTCTCACTTGAG